GTAAGCTGCCTTGAGCCCTTTGTAGGAAAAAGGCAGGTTACATCATCTCTCCTCCTCCATCTTATCCCCACAACAACAACCCTGTGAGGTAGGTTGGGCTGAGAGTCTGTGACTGGCCCAAAGTCACCCAGTTGTTTCCATGGCCGAGCGGGGACTCGAACCCAGATCCTCTGAGTCCCAGTCCCATGCTCTCACCACTACACCACACTCAAATTTTGCACGCCTTCAAGTGTTGCAACTGAGTGTTAAGAATAATGTTTATGTAAGGAAATGTAGATACTATGGGAAGCATCGCCCCTAAATCCACTGTATTAGGGGGGATAGCTTGCAAAAAGGGGTGTCTGTTAGGCAAGATTGTCCAGCAAAAATGCATGGACACCTCACCCACACAACACCAGGGAAGCCAAGGCCAAGCCATTCCTACTGCTACAAAAAATCCCTTATTAGCGTATCCAAGAGCTTCTCCTTCAGCCAGCAAAACTGAAGAGCAAGGCCTGGTGTTTATTCCCCGAGGCCCCACATCTTTGGCTCCATACGCCAGTCAAGGGCTCAGATTGGGACTTTTAACACGGATTGGCTCTGCGTGAGTCACAGGGAAGCGGGTAAGATGGCACAGATGCCTGCGCAAGCTCGCATGCAAGCGCTCTGCGAGGCTTCCCTGGGGTTCCGGAGGCTGCCAGCGGGCCATCCGGTTACACGTTGAAGTTGTTGTTTCTGCCAAGTTATTGTTAATGGGGCCAGGTGTGAAGGACGGGGAACAATCATCTGGGAGAGCTTCCAAGACGGAAATTCTTATGCAAGGGAAACAGAGGAGACATACTGGAAAGGACCTGGGTGGACACAGCTGGCCTCCAAGGGAGCAAGGGCAGATCTGAAGGCTTCTACGCAATGTGGAAGACTTTCCGAGAAGGCTGAGAGAGGCCGGCACGCTTCCGAGTCTTCCAGGAAAGGCCAGGCACACCTCGCAGGAAGACCACCTTAGGGGGTGGAATGGCCCAGTAGAAGCTGTGCTTTGTAGCCTTCTGAAAGCAGAGGTGGCTGCCATCTTTGTGACGACAAGCACACACACACATCTCAACCTCCAGAGAGTTGTCCAGAAAAATATTGGCTGGAAACCACCCGTCGAGCTGAGCTCAGAGTCCCCAGGGGAAGCAGGACCAAAGGTCCGAAAGCAGCGGGCAAAGGTCACGGTTCTTGGGGCCCTGAACGAAGCTACGCTGGCTGGGATCCACTCAGGAAGAGCCGTTGTCTCAGCAACATGCAGAGGACCTGCGGTGAGCTTCACGGCCTCTGAAGAACTACCGAACGCCAGTCCAGAGATCTGGCCATGGAACGGCCGTTAAGGTCAGGGGCCAGGCGAGGGCCAGGAGGCGGGGTGCAGGAACCTGATAAGGCAGGATGAGGCCGGAGATGAGGATGGAGGCAGCAACAGCCTGGAGCTGAGCAGGTGGGCAGGAGCAAGGAAAAGCGGGAAGCCAAAGGACGGGGCAGCGACCGGGGCAGCTCAGGTGGCTGCAGCCATGCAGTGAAGCCCTCTGCACCGCTCTCCGGGGCTTCAGGACTGCCTTCTTGCCACCGCTGCTCCCCGCAAGCCCCTGCAGAGATATTCCAGCTCTGCAGACACTTGCAGGGTGACCGAGGCTCTCATCCTGATAAGCGTCCACAGAATACTGACTCTCTCTTTCTCCAAAAACTAGAAAGCGGTGGGCAGGAGGATGGAGCAAAGGCAGGAGGCAGGAACAACCGAACCACAGGAAGAAGGGTAGAGAGAACCATCTCCTTGCCTGGATACATCTGCTTCTGGTTTATTTGGAGTAAACCGGAAGGGGAAGGGGCTGTATCCCTGGCTAGAAGTACTTCAATTTTTGTTACAAGTTGCACTTTATCTGCTCTGTAAACCATCCGGGCGACTCACGTGTATCGATGACAGAGAGATTCGATGCAGATCAACACTCGAACGGTGTCTCTCGCTCGAAGCTGCAGTTTACTCTTCAGCTCACTGTGGTCTTGGAGAGAAATGGGCAGGAGAGAGAGGGAGTCAATGAAACTGTTCTGGATTTGATAAAGCACCTTGTAAACATTGCGGCGGGCTTCAAAACAGAAGCGATCAGGTGTCTGAAAGTGTAGCTGACACGCTGACTGGTTTCGGGCATCCATGCTTAGAATTAGCCTCCCAAGACGGTTGTGTCTTGACCAGAGCTTCAAATATTGGCCCGGAAAAGCGGAGTCAAACAGGCAAAGCTCTCTATTGCTAGGGCGGTCAGTGAAAAAGGAGAGAGAGGCCCGAGATGGGGCAGGTTCCAGGACGGAGGCTTGAGGGTCACCCTGTTAAGGTGCCTCAAAGTTCAGGAAGGGGTGGAGCCTGGGATGGCAGTATTGCCCAAGGGGTAGAGGATGGAATGTCTCAGTCCATTTCCTAATTGAAGCAAGCTGGTTGCCCGGAGCTGTCCAAGGTCCTGCTACTTCAGCCAAAAGTTGCACGAGCCACACGGAGACCTTTCCCCACTTTCGCTTCTGGCAACACACGCGGTGCCCACGAGCTAGCCTTCCTCTCTCTCCTCTTCCTCCCAACATGCCTATTTTAGGCACTGTGGCCAAAACCAGGGGAAAAACCTCATGCAACCTTAGGTTCCGTGTCGTCTTAGGCAATTTTTACTCATCACCAACAACTAGGAAGTCTCCGTTTATAATCCTGCCCTGTGTAGTAAATTAACAGGCATTCTACCTTAAGTATCACTTCTTCGAAAAGTTTCTGCACTTTTTAAAACTCTATTTATTAAGAATTAAAAAAAAACCAGGCGGGATAGAAATATAATAAATAAATAACTCCTTTCCCCCCCCCCCCCGCACTTCCAGTTGTCCGGAGATCTTCCGGGGGTCCCAGACCCAGCCCTTGCTCTATTCCCCTGGTCCAAGACCCTCCCCGGGAAAGGCAAAGGGGATTTGGACCACCCACCCATAGCTCGAGCAGACGGTCCAACTCACCAATGTGGACGTTGGCCGAAAACTGGTAGATGCCAGATATGGAAGCGGTGAATCTCCCCGTCGTGAGGTTTAACCCGGACCCTCGGAGGAAGGCTCCTTTGGCCAAGGGCTGTGGAGAGAGAGAGGGCCCGTTTCTGCCTGAAAGGAGACGGCCACCTTCCCCGTCTTTCTGCCACGCTGTCATATCGCTCAAGATTCACTCCTGTCAAACCTCTGGCCATTCTGGGGAGTGGGATGTCAGGTGGGAAAGGGCCCTCAGGCACCCCCTTTGATCCCTGGCATCTCCAGGGGGGGCTGGGAAAATTTCGCCAGCAGCCCTGGAAAGCCGCGGCTGCTGCCGGTCAATGCAGGAAGCTAATTTGGGGGGCTGTGAGGCACTCCAACAGGCGGGGGAATGAAGCTGCCAGTCCTCAGCACCTGCCACCAGAAGGAATCGCATTTCTCTCTTTAATTACAGAGCTGGCCTGGTGCTTCCAAACCCTCTAGGCTGGCCCTGGATTCATTCCTCAACGGAAGCAGCAAAAGGGGCTTTGCATCTGGAAAGCTCTCCGGAAACACCGAGGTCCGTGGAGCTCTTATCCAGGGCGGCTTGCATTCTGAGCCTTCCAGGAGCTCTCGGTGGTGCTGAAGTCAACCCCCCAAACGGATTTGCTTGCATGGAGAGCCCTACAAAGGCCAGAATGCAAGGCGTGATGGGCACGGAGCCCCGTCAACATGCTGGTTCCCAACCACCCCAGCGCTGAATTGCACAGAGGAGGTTCGGCACCACAGATGCCTCCTAAAAGCCCAGCATGAAAGCTGTGCTGGATAAGGAGCCCTGCGGACAAAGGAATCGACCGCCTCTCCTGGCAGGCCAGCTCCGGTTAAGGGGAAAGGGGAAGGAAAGTGATGGAAAGGATTTTGCTGGCCCTGCATCTAGGAGAGCTGCTGCCAGTCAAAGCTGGCAGTATCAGGTGAAATGCAGACAGACGCCTCCCTGGGAGCAGTGCTGAAACCTCGGAGAGATTCCCAAAGGAGCCAAGCCATGCCAAGGTGCTGACTAGCCCACATCTCTGGGCGGTTTTCACACAATCCTACCCCGATCAGATTGCTTTCTCCTGCGGAGAGAGGGTGGAGGCGGCTCTGTTTCCCTTTGCAGCCCTTTCTAAATTTCGTCGGGAAAATGAGCAGAACTCTAAGCCCTGGGTTAGCAGCTCCCCACGCAAGGCAGACGTCTCCCTGCACACAGCTCGCCGGAGAGATTATGGGATTTATGCTAAAATAAATGCAGGGTGGCGGCTCATTGTTATCCTTGGCTCCCGTGGTCTGGGTTTGGCTCAAGTTAGGGAGCAGGAGAAAATTAGCTTTAATGCACCATCTTCGAAAAAGGTTTTAATCCTCTAATTGGAGATTCTGCTGCTGTCACAGGGGACTTTCACGGGAAAGAACCGCTCTGGCCGTGCTTAGCCTGGCGATTTTTGCCGGGGTAACTGGCACGGGGTGGGTGCATTGCTCCTTCGGTATCTAAAGCACACAGATTGTACGGTAGCATCGGATGTTAGTTCTGCACAGAGTAGACCCATTGAAGTTAACAGCCGACGAAACGGCCCGTTCATTTCAGTGGGTCGGGCTGGATATGGGACGAAAGTCGCGTGCTCCCTGTTAAAAGCATGGAAATCAGAGGAGTTTGAAGCTGGCCCATGACGGCGGGAACCCCAAACCTTTCACCTGGGGCCCCGAATCTCCAGAAGGGCTCTGCTGCCTGGGGCACTCGGGGAAATTGCGGCCTCAGCGAGCTCTTTCTTGCCCTGTGTGTTTGAGCCCCGGTCTTTTTGACCCGCCTTAGCACCCCGATGAAATTGCAAGCATAGAAACACGGTGCAGGCACTTTATCTATATAATAAATCACACGTCAAAAAAATGACACAGCCGCTAGAGAAAGGTTGCTCTTTCTCGAGATTGATCAAACCTCCTTCCACGCCTTTCTAAATTTTTGGTATCTCTATTTTGTTTGCTATTGGCCCACAAAGGGGTTGAGAAAAGCCACCTGCCTGTGTGTGTGTACGTGCATTCACACATGTGCAAGCAGGCAGGGGCAGCTTGCTCCATGCTCCAGAAATGGATTGCGTTCGCAACAGCTGCCGTTTGTTAAATAAGAAGCATTTCAGGTACCAATGAAGGGGAAAAGTGCCATTAATGCAGCATTCATCTGTGTATTTAAAGGTGCCTGAATACGTCCCTTTGAGAGGCAGCTGGGAGAAATAGCATTTTCTTTTAAATATCATATTTAAGGGCTCCCTTTCAAACGTTCATCTGTCCCTGGAAAACTGGCTAGCTTGAAAGTGTGTAAAATACCACTTGAAATGGGAGTTGGGGAAGTAAATTTGGCCAATGACGGCACGGCCATTTGGGATCCCCACGTTGCTGCCTTGGCTGGCTGCCGGGGCCCTCGCGCCCTCGCCCCAGTTTTACCCCCAGCGCTAGGGAAAATGCCGGTGCCTTTTTGACAGCTCAAGTCTTGTCTGCTGCATTAAAAGCAATTACACTTAAGTGGGGGTGGCAACTTAATTCCCCCCAAACCGCTGACTTGAAATGGAAGACTATTTCCCAGCATCAGTACGTTCCTGCTTGACAAGCAGTCGTTTCTCACAACTCTTTCTCCTTCCTCTCTCTCTGTCCAGTCCAGTCCAGACCTGGATTAAAACCATGTTTCCATTCGTAAAGCCAGCAGAGCGTCCCCCGTTCTCAACCTGCAAAGTGGACCCCGACAGGAGCGTGTTTCTCCAAAAGCATTCCCATATCCCCAAATTTCACAGCTGAGTTTGAAAAAATGCACACTTAAAATATTCATTTAAAAACAAAATGAAACAAAATGAGACAAAAGTTTGGTTTAGCCAATTGGGGGGAAGTGAGCACTTTGGAAAATGTAGATGAAGATGTGCACTTTTCCAGTTTGAAACGTGTTTTTTTCCCCCCATTCTAAGGAAAAGAAAAAGCAGTTGCAAAGGAAAAATGAGAATCCCACGTTTCTCCATCCTTTTAACTCTTTCTCTTTCTCTCACACACAAACATGAACAGAGAGTCAATGGCCCTCCAAGGAAAACCCTGTGCCATATGGGGCACTCTATCCAGTCACACACACCAGCTTTCTCCGCCCTGGCCTCCTCCAAACCGGTTGGACAACCTTCCCCATCATCCCCTAGCACAGTGTCTGGGGATGATGGGGACCCTGACCCAACACGGTTTTTCCGCCTGTTCTTCTACGCAAAGTCCCGGGCCGCTGCTCCGGCCTGCAATTCTGGCAGCAGAGCGCCTGTTGGCACGGAGAGGTACCAGGCACCTGCCCACGGCAATTAGGAAGGGAACCGGCTGCCTCGCTTTCGGCCCAGCCTGTAAATCGAGGGCTATTAAGCTGTCGTGAGTCTCCTTCTCAGCGCCCAATTAGCATGGCACCAGCATTATCCCTCCGAAGAGCTCCCAGGAACAATCACGCTGACCCGGCTCCTCTGGGCCCACGGGAACAATGCGGTTTGGGAAACCTCCGCGCCCAGCCGGGCCATCTGACATTCCGCAGCTGGCGCCAGCATCCGGCTTCTCTGGGAACACGCCAGGGCCCCGGGAGGGCCTGCTGCGAAGGCCAGCTTTGGGTCCCCCGGACGGGCTTTCGAGAGCGATGCCAGGCAGCTGCAACTGGCCGCGTCTCGGCGGTCCCGCAACGCCCCCGAGTTCGCTTCACTCTGGGCATTGTGAGGAACAGGAAGGAAGGAAGGAAGGGGGGCCCGGCTGCACCACAGCACGAAGGCCCACAAAGAGAGAGCAGGCCCCCAAAAGAGGACACGTCTGGGACCAGCCTGGATTTTACCTTTCCTCCCACAGAGGAGACATGGCTGAACTCTCTCCCCGTCCCTGGAACCGCACCTGACGGAAGAGGCTGCGAAGAGCGGTGCAGGGGTTGTTCCAAACACGGCCCGTTCGCAATCCTAAAAGCAACCGCGTGTCTCTTGAAACGGTTCCCAAAGGGCCCAGTCATGTGCATCCGATTGGCACCGGGGTCCCAATTTATGCAAATTCTGCAATTTGCATAAATCTGCCCCTGCGGGTGGAAGGATGCAAGAAAGGGGCACACGCTTCGGAAACTGGCACACACCTAGCAAAGGGACGTTACCCAAATGTCACATTTTGAAGCCAAATTTCACATTTTGCTGCTCGATGGAGCACTTTTTCGATCACCAAAACTGCCCCTTTCCCCAGACCCTTTTCTGTGAACAAAGGAAGCACCCTTAAGCTTAGGGACGGTCAAGAACTCTGCATGAGATTCACGGGGCTTAGCTTCTTATTAACCCGTCCCATGGATTCCACCCTGGCCTGCCTTTGCCCGAATCACCCAGATTCTACCGACTTGCACGTTTCCTCAGATTTTAGATAAACTGAGCTGCAGAAAAAGTGCCCAGGAAATCCCAGTCACCGAAAAAGTTTGGAGAAGCGTGTGCCTTTGGGAGAGGTTTGTGCCTTTTTGGAGGTGCAGTCTGGGACAGAACGGGCTGGGTTGAAAAATATGGATTTGTGAGCATGCAGAAAATCTGCCTGCCTCGCAGGACACGACCGGCACAAAGCTGTGGAGGTGAAGCGCTTACCATCTGGAAGTTCTGGAGCTCCATCAGCGTCTTCTTGTCCACCACAATCTGCCCCTTGAGCTTGCAGTGGAAGGCCTCCTCCACCCGCTTGTAGGGGGGCGTCTCCTCGGCCCGCCGGTCGGGGGGCAGCTCCTCCAGGGGGAAGAGCAGAGGGGGCACCTCGCTGGGCTGGGCTGCCGAAGCAGGGAGAGCGCGCCGTTCGGTGGCTTCTGAAAGAAAAGGAGCCCGTTTCACCCCCTTATGAGAAGACCGCCTTCCCCCAGACGCAGCCCTGGTTTGCGGGTCTCTGGGGAAGCCCCGTCCTGAGTCCTGCTGCCTTTGGGCATGCCTGAGATGAGGCCGCAAAACGGGGCCTTCTTGGGGGCTGCCCCCAGGCTTTGCGGCTCAAGGATAGGCTAGACATGCACATGGTAGGCATGTTATGAGTGGAGCCGGGGGTCAGTCTAGATGGACCAGGAGGCCCCTCCTGTTTCTAACTCCCCAGGCTCGGTTGCTCCCGTTTGCTTCATCCCATTCTGGGTCTCTGGCATACAAGTGGATCTTGCTGAAGGGGTTTGGAATGATGTTTTGATTTCGCATGTTATGCTTGCATTTCAGATCTCGGCTTCTCGCCTGCCTGTTCTCACCAGCTGCTTCGTGTGCCCTTTTTGGGTGGGAAGGCAGAATCCAAGTTCAAGAAATACACAAATGAACAAACATGTGTTTGATCGTTTGGACTTCAGTTCCCAGCAGCCCCGGCCAGCACGACAGACATTCCGAGAGCTGCCACATCTCTAACCCCTCCGGGCGGACCGCTTGTGAAACGCACTGCGAGTCCAGGTTTGCGCTGTCAGTTTACTCCGAAGTAAAAGCATGCCAGGTTTGGGGAGGCTCGATTCCAGGCAACGGGGCTTGGAACTGCACCCCCGCGACCCAGACCTGCTTCGGACAAAGCCAAAAATTGCGTTTTGATCTGCGAGGCCGGGAGGGGAGGCGTGAGCTTCCCGGAAACACGCTGATCGCGCCCGCTCACCTTTTAACATCTCCTTGAACTCCTGCAGTAAGATTTCTTGGGTGACTTCTGCGCCAGGGGCCCCTGGAGGGCCGGGGGGGCCCGGGGGGCCTGGAGGGCCGACGAGGCCACGCTAAAAAATGAAAGACGGGTAGGAGGAGAAAAAGAGGACCGTCAGAAACCGGGCGAAGCATTCAGACGACCGCGTCTTGTGTGTGCGGCGACAGGTATATTTTGCAGGGCGCATGAGCAAAGGGGTGCTTGGGCAGCCACTGGGGACCAGGACCCATGCTCCCCGCTCTGGGGCAAGCCGCGGTGCCAAGAGCGGTGGGGCGGCGGACTCGGCCGTGGCCAGGCCAAGCCTCCTCGGGCCCACCTAAGCCAGGGTCACCTCACGGATAGGCCTGAGACGGTTGCCTGGATGTTGCCAGGGGTGGGGAATCGCAAGGCGCCCCAGATGTGGTGGGACTACAAGGCCCATCATCCCCGCCACCGGCTGGGCCGCTGAGAGTGGCAGTCCAGCGAGGCCTGGGGTGGTGGGGTGCTTCCCACCACTGCTTGAATGGACCGCTTCTTTGAGAGCAGGAGCTCGGCCCAGCAGGGAAGTCGTGAAGCCACCGTGGCCCCGGGCGAGGGCCCCCGTTCGGGCTGAGGGCCCTGTGCTTGGTGCAGCCCAGCCCGAGGCCCACGGGCCCAGCTCAGCCGCCTGGGGCCACAGCCGCCCCAGGGTGGTGTAGCCACTCCGGGTTTCAGGCTGAGCTTTGAAGCTGTCCGTGGTGCTGCAGCCATGGAAGCCCTTTGGGTGTTCAGCCCGAAGTCTGGAATGTATACATAACCCCAGCAGCGTTGGGGCCAGACGCCTCCAGCAAATTTGGCATCTATCCATCCATCCATCCGCATCACCTGATTCTTGCAAGTGCAAAAGTAACCCCAGCAATTTTTTAAAAATAAGCATTGCTTTCCTACAACTTCAGGCAGAATAGTTCTGCGTCTACCTTTATGGCTTCCAAGTCCTGCACCAATTTATTGATACTTAAAGCACAGAAAATATGTATGTATGTATGTATTCACCTCATCCAGCTCTCTGGTTTTTCCTGATAACAACAACCCTGTGAGGTAGGCCAGGCTGAGAGCCAGTGACTGGCCCAAATTCACCCAGGGAGCTCCATGGCCACAGGGGGTCCAGAACCCAGATCCCCCGAGTCCCATCTGACACTATAACCACTAGGCCCACTGGCCCCCTATAACTAGCAAGATGGCTAGGCGAGGGGCCTCACCCCCTCAGAGAGCCATGCACATGTGTGGTACATCTGTGGCATGCACACACATTCTCTGTCCACTGCAGTGGAACACCACCCCTGGGAGCAGGGCTGTCGCAGTGGTGCCAGGACCGTACCAGTCCCACCTCGCCCAGCATCTAGCCTGTTCCCATTGCAGCGCCCCACCTCCTTCACCCTCACAGCAGATTCTGGATCCGGCCTGTCGGAAAAGGCTTGCCGGGCTCGGACCTTGGGGTCCGAAACAGTGTGAGCCTTCCGGGGGGATGGGGGGTGACGCTTGCAGAACCACAAAAAATGCATCTTTAGGAGAAGAAAACAGCTCAAGGAAGGGAAGCAAAACACCTGGGGAGCGGGGGAGCAGGGTAGGGGTTGGCCCTAGCAGCAGCAGCCCATCTGCCCCGGCTTTCTCCCTGCCAAGCAAGCAAGCGGTGCGGGGGGGGGGGGTGATCCAAAAGACAGTGTGGAGCAAAAGCTGGCACAAAATTTTGGTACAGGGTCAGACTCATGGGGGGCGCAGATTGGGGTGCCTTGCCTGAAGCCAAGCTCAGGGATCCGAGGTTCAGTTGGGGTGCCAGGAAGTCCTTCCTGGGGGTTAAGACCCCCAGGGTCTGGCATGGGGGGGTGACTGAGGCCCCGTCGGTGCGGGTGTTCAAGGACCGGCTGGACACGCACACGGCGGGCATGTCGCGAGCGGAGCCAGGGGTCAGACTAGATGGCCCGGAGGCCCCTCTCACTCGCTCTGTGTCTCTGTTCTGTGTTTCTAAGAGGATGGCGCCAACCCTGCCTGCAGGTCCCGCGGTATTTTCATCACCACCCTCATCCTCATCGCCACCCATAGCCAGCTGTGCCTCCGGGCGCAACCTACAAATTTCTTATCTTTCCCCTTGCATCGCTTTTTGGAGCCGCCGCCGTCGCCGGGACGCTGCACAAAGGAGATCCATGTCCGGCGCGGGTCGGTCATGCGCGGGTCGGGGGACTCGAGCATCTAGGGAGAGAAGAAGAAGCGTTGGGGTCCCACGTGGCTCCGCAAGCAGCCCCCGTCCCGGATCTGCGTCGGCTGGAGGCCCCCTTTGCTCCAGGGCCACGGACAAGCAGAATCCTGCCTTCCGAAAGGAGCCTGGAGCTTCCGGATGGGACTGGCCGGCACCCCCAGCCTATCAGCCCCAACCATGAGGGATGCGGCTGATGGGAGCCGCTCCCCCAGGCCTCTGGGGAGAGCGCCAGGCTGTTGATCCAAAATGAGACAGTGGGGATTCCTGGGTGGCTGATTCTCGAGCGCTTTTCCTCACGTGGGGCCGGGGAGACACCGGGGCCGCTGAATGCTGGTGCACCGCAATTCCCATCATGCCTCACCAATGGCCATGCAGGCTTGGGCTGATGGGAACTGGAGTCAACAACTATCAGGGGACTAGCTGTTTCCTCGCAGGGCATCCCCGAGCCAGAAACTAAATTTGGCCACTCAGAAATTCAGATATTCCTCACATCCTGGAGTGTTTTTCACTTTTCAGCAACCCAAATTAACAACAACATGTTTACTTGAAAGAGGGGAAAGTGCAGGGAAATCAACAGTGCAGCTAGAAAAAAAGCAAGCGCAAGATAGGGCAGGCACAGCACGGGGGTTGCAGTCACAGCCGGTTGTGTCCGTGCTCTTGACCTATGGTCCCATTTTACAGATGGGGAACACTGAGGCACAGAATAATTTACAACTTCCCCAGGGATCAGGCAAGTAAGGTTGGAACTGCGTACTCCTTAACCCAGGCCTGAGCCCCCCTGGACTTCCAGTGTTCAGACATCACAGGATGAGTACGGTTTGAGTGGAGGCTGCTGTTAAATCATGGGCTGTTTGTGTCGTGTGGATTGGCTCATTGTCTGAACCCAGCCTCCGCTCAAGCACCGCCCAGCAAAGAGCCCACCAGCCCAGTCCGCCCCACTGTCAAGCTGTCTCTCAGCCCAAACTGGCTTCCTTACCCATGTCCGCTGGTCAAATCAGCCAATGAAAAGTTAATCAGTACATAAGAGCAGCACAAGAGGAAAAGGGATGAGGAGGGTAGAGGAGGAATAAACCCAGTTCTTAGAAGGCATACAAGTTTTCTAATGATTGGCTTGGGCAGCATCAGTTCAGAGGGTCAACGTCTCTCGCTAGTCCAGGGGCGTCTACTCTGCCAATCTCCAGGGGTTCCCAATTAACTGCTACTGGATCTTTTAAACTGGAAGTGCCAACAGTTGAACCTGGAAGCCTCTGCGGGCAAAGCAGGTGCTGTTCCCTGGCAGCTTTTGAAAGCTAGGCCTCCATAGCCCCGTGGGGATCGCTCCGATCGGAATGAGCCACCTCGAACCCGCTCCTTCGTGCCAGTTTGGAGTGCCCCCTTCCACCTTGCTCGCCTCCAGCCCAGCGCCTTGTCAGATAGCCTTCCAGTTCCCTTCCATTCCCCCGTGAGCTTGCCAAATTTCTATCATCGAACGAGCCTGAATGAGACAAGCCCTCCAGTCCCGAACCCCTCCACCAAACTCACTTCCAGCTAAGCAGCTTTAATGAGTCACTCCGTGGAATTTGGGCGCACGAACAAAACGTTAAGAATGTATTAAAATTGGGAAACAAGAATGCGCACTGGTGCGTGTGGGGATTTCTTGGGGCGGCGGGGAGCGCTGCTGGAGCCCTCTCAAAGGAGGGTGTGGGCAACATGGCTTAAACAGGAAATCAGAAACACCCAAACGAGAATTACCGGATGGTCTTGAAAACCTAAAAGCCCCCTTGAGGCTTCTCAAAACTCCTCCACCCTATTCTTGGAAGATAAATAAGCAGGGGTAGATGGCAATTTCTCCGAATTTTCTCCAGGGAGAGGAGAAATTCCACAAAGGCTTTGGAGGGATGGGGTTCTCCATTAGCCGTCGCAACGCTTTGTCGTTTGGGGCTTGCTCTGGTCACACGGGCTAAAAGCTGCTGCTGCGTGGAGAGGTTGGTGTTTGAACGGTCCAGAATGCCCTAGACTTGGGGGATTGTGGGAAGGAAATGGCGGAGACCGCAGCAGGGCGGAGAATATCTGGCAAAATGCAGATCCCTTAAACTGCTTGCAGCCCGAGGGCCAAATACCATCTCTCCGGATCTGCATTCCAGTCGTGGGTAAGGCCGGAATACAAAAGCACCCACAAGATTTTCAATTCAAGACCAGAGGAAAAATCCCAGGTTTAAGCCACTTCAGGTTCCTTGCAAGAGGAAAAAAGACAGGGTCAAATATGGGAAGAGCTTCCCTTAACGACATGTGAGGGAAAGCATTCCAACCACCAGGAATGGTGCAGAGCAAGCTGGGAAGACCCTGAACAAGCCATCGCTCCCTTGCAAAATGCACTGGTCCCAAACCGGGCAATGGGATGGATAACGGGAACTGGACCGACATTTCCCAACCTGCCCTGGCGAGCACGTTATTAAATTCAGCCTTGCCCCTTCTTTGTTTCCTGCCAGGTGCCTCTTTCTTAGCAGAGGCACTCAGCTTGGCAGGTGTGGACAGGTGAGATACCCCCCTCCCCACTTGTTTTGGATGCAACTGTTTTCGGGGGACTGTTATCTGGTTGGCGGGTCACCTGCCGGATACACCCTGGCCCGTCCCCTCATTTCCTGCTCCGGGCGGGTGTTAGCGGCGCTGTCAGCCAAATGAAATTGATCCTGAGTCACGGCTGGTAGAGCTTTGGCGCATTCCAGGGTAATTGAGTAATTAGCGTCAAGGTTCGTTCTGTCATGCGTACCCTGGAGTTGAGCAGACAGCTCTGGAACGGGACCAGAAGGCAACTCTGGTGCAGGGCCACAAACTGACAACGCTGAAGTGAACTCTGGGGGTTGGTTGGCGTTGTTCCTGGGGAAGGGGACGGGGAAGGATGCTCGACCCCAACCTCAGAGTGGGCCTAGCCAGGAGAGACGCCCCCAGGCAGAAGCGGAGGTCCCGGGCACTGGGGGTGGTCGACCTCTTGTGCGCCAAGAGCCGAACTCCATTTTGGGGAAGCTCTGGGGCTGCATCCCAGGGCGCACGGGAGCAGAGCCAGAGAGGCGAGTGGGTGGAAAGGCCAGAGAAACGCTGGGGAAGCACCAAAGAGCCAGTCGGCAAGCGAAAGGGGTGCGGTTCCCTTTGGGTGGGGGGCGCTTGCCGTGAGCCGTATTCAGCTCCATATTTGCAATCCTGAGGAAGCCTTTTTGGACAGCCTCTGGGGCTTGGTCCCGTCTTAGAAAGGGAGCTGGGACAAGAGGAAGGCGCAGAGGTTTGGGTGCGTACCCAGCAATGGCGACCTGCATCCTGAAGCCTGGCAAGTCCCATGTGAACAGTGGCTACGCTCACCCGAAAGTCGGATTCGCAGGCTGGAATCCAGGAACAGAACGCAGGCATCCGGATTCCCCTCCTTAAAAACAGGTTCCTCACACGTCCCTCACTCTCCACCCTGCAAGTCTTCCAGCAGAGCCTGAACAAACATCCGTTATTTCCTCCATCCAGACTAGGACAAGCCATGAAGAGAGCCCGTGGTTTCTATCGGGTTATGAACCGTGGGCTGTTCATCATGGTTTGTGATCTTGGTTAGGTTCTGACAACACAACAACCCACGGTTCAAGAACAGCCCATTCTCAACACATGTTCAAGCATGCTTTCCTAACCATGAGCAACCTATGAAGAGAAACCATGGTTTATTGTTGGGTTAAAAACTGTTGCTTGTTTGGAAACAAACCATGGCTTGTGACTGTGGTTTTGCTCAGGCAATAGGATAACCCACATTTCACCAACAGCTATAACCCAGACTCTGTCTGTACTCCAAACTCAACTTCTTGAGTTCGCAAATTTGGGGATTAACTCTGGGAGCACAGATTGGCCAGGTCACTGCTGAAAGCTCTCGGCCCGAGCCGCTTGGCACACACCCTCTCCTGCCCCCAAATCTGCAGGGGACGTTTGGGAGACGGGACAGTGACGCGAGGAAGACATGGACCGGGGGCTTGGTTCCCCCGGACAGATCTCTGCAGCGGGCTTGTGCTGGAAGGACGCAGACGGGCTCCCGAAGCCACGGGAGGACACGCTCCCCGACTCGCACGATGCGGCTGCCACATGGGAAAGACCGCGAAAGCCAGCGGAACCGCCATCTCTGCCCCACTCCGAGGAGACCGCGCCGGAGAGGAGCGCGGCCACGGCGGATTCTGCGGGCCGGCCTCGGAGGAAGCCCACAGGGCTGCCGATCGGCCGTGCCCGGCCACCGGCTTCCTTGAATCGCAGACCTCTCTCGGCCGGGCTGCTGCCCAGTTTCTGATTGACGGCCGAAATGAATGCTCTGTCCTCGCGGTGTTATTATTTAATTACTACAGCAGGGCTGAGCCGTCGGAGAAGCACGTGTGCAGGCACCTCTGTTTATTTTGGCAGGAGGCCGCCTGGCAGCCGAGAAGGGGGGCGCACCGCCTGCAGCCTGCGCGGGGACCGGCCGGGACCCACGTCTGCACCCGCCAAGCCAGGCAACGGCCTGAGGGCACCTCGTGGGGAGCAAGTCTCTCCTGGCCCAGCCTGGGAGCCACATGCACCTTTTCCGAAAGGCTCCCGGGGCCAAAGAGGAAGGGGCCCGAACACTCCCCGCCCCAAATGTTGCCTCTCCAAGCCCTTGCTCGGAGCTACTGAGCCTCTGGAGAGCCATTCCGGCCCTTCCGAGGGGGACGGACTGCACAAAAGCCCGGAGGCAGCACCAGGTGGCCTTGGCAAACCAGCTGAAGGAGCCAAGCTGGGAGCCTGGAGGGCCGGACCGGGCCCTGATTTAAGACGCACGTCGATCGGACGGTGACCTAGCCCAGTCCTATCTGCCTGGCCCCAGGAAGGCAATGAGCGGGGCAAAGACAGCCCTCTCCTGTGATTTGCCCCCAATAACTTTATCCGGAGGTAGCCTGCACCTAGCTATGGAAGTTCCATGAAGCTCCTGCGGCCTGGAGCAAAGCAAAAGTCCCAGGACTGATCGTGGCTGGCAAGATTGGAG